CACACCCAGACACGCTGCACACCACACTCAGACACGCTACACATCACACACCCAGACATGCTGCACCCCACACTCAGACATGCTACATGCCACACACAGACACACTATACACCACACAGAGACACGCTACACATCACACACCTAGACATGCTGCACATCACACATAGACACACTACACATCACACAGAGACGTGCTACATATCACGCACACCACACAAGCCACACACATGCCACACACACTACACAGCGCACACCATGCACACAACACAGATACACTACACACCACACAGAGACACACTACATATCACACACCCCACACATGCCACACACACTAAACACATACCACATAGAGATATGCTACACACCACACACAGACATGTTACATACCATATACCACACACATGTGCCACACACTTCACAACAGACATACTACATATCACACACATAGCACACACACAACACATGCACTACACATCACACACATGCCACACACATGCCACACAGCACACACACAGACATGCTACATATCACACGTACCACACAAACATACCACACACACTACACACACATCACATATAGATGTGCCATAAACACTATACACCACACACCACACACCACACACCAACACATTACCCACCACACACAGCATATACACAACACACACAGCAAACACAGCACAAACATACATCACACAGCATCTTGTATTACATGTTACAGAGAATAAATTTCATTCTTATAAATTTTATCATTAATAACTTTAATACTGCTATATCATTTTTCTTTTGATGTTTTAATTGTGCTTTATTTTGCAAGGGAGGGGTACCGGAAATTGAATTCAGGACCTCACGCTTGCCAGGCAGGAGCTGTGTGCCTGAGCTAAATCCCCGGCCCAACGGTACTTTTTTTTTGGTACCGGGAATCGAACTCAGGACCTTGTGCTTGCCAGGCAGGCGCTTATGTCACTGAGTTACACCGCCGGCCCGTCCAATTGTACTTCAAAGTCATCTTCTCAGTATCCTTAATTTTTAATACTTTTTCCTCATTTTATATAATTCATCATCTCCTATTTTTGTGAAACTTGATTCTCTTATATCTTAGCTGATCTTACTCTACCTGCATTCAATATAAGACATTTCTTTCCCAAATTTTTTATCTTACTGAATCTCTGGGGTTTTTTACACTCCAAATTTAAGCTCTCCTTTTGTAATTTCCTTCCCTTAACCTTGTGCATTTTCTCTTACGTGCACAGGAGGCCTGGTGAAGGGAGAGGTCCCCGCCCCGAGGAGTTCGGGCTGTGTCTCCTAGGGCCCCCCACCCCCACCCCCACCCCCACCGGCAGCCCTGGCGTGCGCAGTGCACCCAGCACCTGACGGAGCCAGGGCCAAGCCCCGGCTCCCGCTCAGCGGCTGAGGACAGCAGTGTTGCGGGCTGTGAGGTCTGTGCCCCGAGGGTCACATGAGAGCCGTGCTGGGAGGGGGCCTGCCGTTCGCTGGCCTCCCGTTTGGCAATGGGAGTTTTCTCTCCTTTGTCTTCTGCCACCACCATGAGGCGACCCAGCCCAGGGGAGGCTTCCCAGACCCTGTCATGCTGTTCGGGCTTTCAGCTTCCCTAAGCGTGAGCTGCATGAACCTAGAAGCTATTTCTGTTAAGCTGACAAAGTTCAGCCGTCGGAGGTGACAGCCCCATACCTCTTCTGCTTCTCTCTCTCCCTCTTCTTCCTTAGGTCCACAAATGGGAAGGAAAGAAAAAACACAAATTCAAGTCAGTTTTCAAACTGGATCTTCAAATAAGCAAATAATAATAATAAGACAGAAGCTCCTTGAAGTGGACAACCCATTCGTTAAACCATAAAATATGTAAAAAGCGAAGCCAAGATACCTAGGTGATCCGTACTTTTTTTCTTACACTATATTTCAACCTCTTGGAATATTATGAACATAAAGATACGGTCGCGGTCGCTCATACGCCTAAGAAAATGTAATTAACTAGTAATACTGCTTAGTGATACATGTAGCTCCGTCTCACTGTGGGAGGAAATGAGGGCCTCGCCGTCCCTTCCCCCCATGGCCCCTTGCAGCTTCCCGGTCCAGTGTGCTCCCGGGACTTCACTAAGCAGCCGTGTGGTTCTTAGCAGCTCCTGGAGTCCCAGACAATCCGGCCTGTCCTTGTAGTCACCTGCATCCTCTCACCAGCCCCTTCTTCCTGAGGCCACCGAGTCCTGTACTTGGACCAAGGTCACAAACCAAGTAAGCAGCGAAACCCAGATCACCCTAAGTCTCCTGGTTACTAATTCAGCGCTCCTGCCCCTCCTCTGCCAGGCTGCCTCTCAAGATCAGTAACAGGAAAAGCAAAGTCACAGCAGGAAGGGACAGGGGACCCAAGATGCTGTCAGTCCCCCAGCCCGCATCACTGCATCAGGTCTGGCCGCTCAGAGCTCAGTGATGGGCCCAAACGTGCTGCTAACTCAGCTGGCCAAGTCTGAGAGAGGCCCAGGACATCTTAGCCCTGGGAGGCATCAAACTAATGTCATAGTGGGCACCACTGATGATACACCAAGTGTCAGTGCAAAAGGAACATCCAGGAAAGGAGAGCCTGGCACCTGTTGTGAAATTCAGGTGCTGGCGTCATGGTTACAGGTACGTTGTGCCGCGTCCCGCTGTGACTGCTGTCTCCGCTCACCTGGACATCACAGCCTCCTGTCCTTCCACACTTCCGATGTGCTCTCCCTGCTGCAGCCAGCCAGACAGCTCCAGGAGGCAAGAAGCCTCGTGACGCCACCCATGTGTTCAGAAACTTCCAGCTCAGGATACATCCAGACCCCACTGTACTTACTTCAGCCATGCTGACTCACATGCGGTTTCCCACACTGGCCAGGGCTCTGCTCAGAATGATTTGTGCAAAGAAGACTTTCCTAACTGTAGATGGAGTCTGGGGACCTCCCTGCTCTCACAGCCATCATTCTCTGTCGCCCTGCCTGGTATGCGTGCTCTGTGGGAACGCGACCTGTGTCTTACTCATCCTACCGGCTCTCCAGCCCCCAAGCCCTGTCTGGAACCAAGGCACAAACAAGCTCAGTGACTGGGTATGTGAACAGATATTGACCCTTCAGCTCCCAGATTCACTTTCTTCTTGTCCACACAGGATCCGATCAAAATTCACCGAATGCAGCACAGAACTGTCAGTTACGAAGAGTTTCACATTTTCCTAAATCCAACTATTTTTATCGACTGTGTCCGGCTTAAACAAGGTGCTGTGAAATGTGGGGCTCTCCTTAGAGCCAGCCCGGAGGGCAGCAAGGGATCTTATAGGAGCAACTGCTGGTCTCAGCTCGTATAGGTTAACTGGGAACGGCGGCGGAAGGACCTAGCGCTCTAGCAAATGTTGAATGAATGTATTGAAGTACTGTTATTCCTGCCTCAAAAAACACTGGACATGAGGTGAGATCTATTAATTAAAAAAAAAAAAAAGATAAAAAGCTTTCAAATTCATGTCACAAGGGCTGGGGATTTAGCTCAGCGGCAAAGCGCCTGCCTGGCAAGCGCAAGGTCGTGAGTTCGGTTCCCGGTACCAGAGAAAAACCAAAAAAAGAAAAGTCAAATTCATCTCACAAAATTACAAAATATCAGAATTCAGCAGATCTTTAAAAGTCCTCTATGTACCATGCTTGAACTGATTCATGGTTGACAAATAATTGTATCAACAAGAGCATCCATGTAGAGAGCTGTAGCCTCCCAGGACTGCACAGTCTCACCAGATCTTTGTACAAGGTGACACATCGACTATGCGGTTGAAGTCACGGCGCCTGGGTGTTCTGAGAAAGCCAGAAGGCAGAAGCCTAGCAGTGGGACATCTCAGAATCTCCCACAGCAGCTATTTTTGTGGGGAGTGTGGCCAGGGACACAGGCCACTGATGTGGTGCACAGCCAGCACCAAAGACAGGTGTCAGTGGTGGTGAGTGTCAGGCTGTGGGTGGCGAGCAGCAGCCGAGGACAGAGAGGCCAGCCAGCCTCCGAGAGCCAGGAGGAGGGGGCGGGAGGGCAGCGCTCCGGCCGCGGAGCCCCTACCAAGGTTTGTCTGGCAGGGAACTTTCCCCCAGACTGGTTCTGGAGGGAGTTCAAGGGGTGAGACCACCACCATGTGGTCAGTCGAGCCAAGGGCACAAAGATTTTCAGACAGGGCCATTAGCCGGCAGCGAATACAACCCCAAATGACTTGACCCTTCTAATAAGAATATTTTACCTTGATAAAAGCCAAATACAAACACAAACACACTGTGATGTTCCCAGCATTTTGTGAAGCTCTCCTGAGGCTTCACTGAAATTCTCCTGCAGGGCAGCTCAGAGGAGGTCTGCGCCCACCCGTAGCCCCACCTGCTTCCCAGGCATTTTAAGAATTCCTGAGAATTCTGTTCCTCCATACACCCTCCAATTATCCCTGCTGGGCTCTTACAGAACCCATTTCCCTCTTCTACCCCTACTGGTTACCCCTGAAGAGCACCCCTTTAGAATCAGATCCTCTGACTTGGATTGCTGGGATTTGCTATTCCCCAGACTTGAATGGACATCAGTTTCCTCCTGTGTCCCCTTTTTATCAAGCCCCTGCTGGTGCCCCCAAAATGTACTGTACTCCCTTGGCTCTGTTTCCCCAGGGTTCCTGGGAGCAGTCGAGTTGGTCATTATTCAAGATCAAGAGTAAGGCCCCTGGTTTGATCCGGAACGTGAATATGACCTACCTCTAAAAACACAACACATCATTAAAGGTCTGGCCAGTGGGGTCTTTCCAGGTCAGGGCTCAAGGTCTTCCCTCTGGCTCTTGTTCAACCCCACTCCTGGTCCAGAACTGCAGTTAGCAACTTAAGGAAAATTGCCAGGTTTCTTCCCACTGAACTCGGAGCTGCTCATTTTTCTCCTCCTCACTGTGTAGAAACTCCCAGGCACCCCTCAGAATCCCAGTAAGCTAAAAACAGGATGAAAGCAAAGAAACCATGGTGCCAACAGCAAACACTCACGCTCTTCTCCTGGGACTCAGGAAGGTTGCCCACATCTTCACTGTTCTCCTGTCCCTCATTCTCTCCAGGTTCTTCAGCCTTCTCTGTTCCCTGGTCAGAAAAGAAACCCAGGGCATCATTAACTGTTATGGTTTGTGCCTAGACGCCCCTCAAAGCCTCATGCAGTGTTAGGCTTTTTTGGAGGTAGGTAAATCTAGGGTTTGTGATTGATTCATGATCCATGGCTGGGATTAAGTATGTGAGTGCTGCACTTACCCTAGGGCCGGTAGCCTGCGTACAATATATGAGACAGAAACACGCTTGTCCCCTCTTCCTTATTGCATCTGTGTTTCCCACTGCCGTAAACTATTGCCCCTCTGCCATGTGCCACCCTGCCTTGGAGCCAGCCAGTTATGGGCTGAAACTTCTAAAAACTGTGAGTTTAAATAAACCTTTCTTCCCTTAACTTGTGGTGCGGGGTATTTTGTCTCAGCAACAAGAAAAGTAACTAAGACACTGACCTTTGATAAACTCACAAGGACAAATGAGAGCACATCTGCTGGGGCTTCTGTATCTAGGTCACAGTGCATAGATGAAGCCAGCAGAGACCTCCTATTTATGAGGTTGCTCAGTCCCTAGAGCATGAGCTTGCTAGCCCCCCAATTACTGGTTGAGCTTATCAATGTCAGTCAGTAGACTGATGTGCATGTGACAGTAATAAACTGCCAACTGAGGGATTTCAAGTCACCCATTTAAGGCTTGTGAAGATGATGGATAAATGCATGGGTGTAAAGAGAGAAATAAGGCAGGCAGAAAGGTAGGCACAATGGATGGAAGGATGGATGGATGGATGGATGGATGGATGGATGGATGGATGGATGGGTGGGTGGCATGGGGGCAGGTGGCTTGTGGTGCCAGCCCTTACCTCAGTGGTACTCTCTGCCTCTCCTGCTACATCACCATTGGGAAGGGAAGAAGCTTCCTCAGGCGACTTTGTCACCTGCATCATATAGATTGAGAACATTTAAGAATTTTCTTGAGGATCATAATTTGCATTTCAATATCTTTTAACTACTGAAGTTATATTTGTCTTCAGCCTCACTTCATCTGCAGCAAAACCGGCCCTAGTTGGTAGACAGTCCTTACCACTCACAGAGGTGGAGAGATCAGAAAGGCAGAAAAACATCACATTGTAATTCAGAGCCTGGGATGGGTCTGCCTCTCCTACCTGATGCTTTTGTAACATATGAAGTTGTTCTCAGCCTCTAAAAATACACTTTAGAATTCATGAGAACAAAATAAACCGTACATGCATGCTCCATTTCTACCCTTCTATGATAAGCAGTATTAAAAATTTAAAAGCCAGGCATGATAAATGCCTGTAATCCAGCATTCTGGGAAGCAGAGACAGGAGAATCACAAGTTTAAGCCCAGTTTGGGCAACTTGGCAACTTAGAGAAGACCCCAGTTGCAAAACTATTTTTAAAAATTTTTCTTTAAAGATGGCTAAGGATGTAGCTCAGTAAAAAGGCCTTGGGTTCAATCCCTAGTATAGATAGATAGATAGATAGATAGATAGATAGATAGATAGATAGATAATAGAATTTTGATGTGTGATAACTATACTAATATTTAAAGGCTCTTTTGGGGAATTACTTGTCATTTTCCTTTTTTTGGTTGAAATGAGAACACATTGTCAATAATTTAATCTTTTAGCTTAATATATCATGGACATTTGCCTTGCTTGATTTGTACAATTCTATACCATTCTTTTTATCATCTACTTAATACTAAGTATGTAACAATTTATTCAAACATTTCCCAAATGATTAATGTACAAAATTTTCTGTGCCTCTATAAATAACACTATGTTACACTGAAAAAAATGATGAGGATATTTTTATTTGATTCCTTTTCAAAAAGGTGATAGAAATTCATTTTCCTACAATAAATGTGAATGTACCATTTTTCTTTCTTTTTTTTTTTTTGGTTTTTCTCCGGTACCGGGAACTGAACTCACGACCTTGCACTTGCCAGGCAGGCGCTTTTGCCGCTGAGCTAAATCCCCAGCCCCTGTACCATTTTTCTTTATCCTCCCTGTTAATGAAGCAAGACAATGACCTTTTGATGTTTGTCAGTGTGTTGAGGAGAAAACAGAATTTTTGACTTAAGTTTCACAGTGCAGTATTTGAAGCAAACCCCAGCCAATGTGCAATAAACCCTAGATTCTGTTTATAAACTCTGCCAAAATTTCTCTGGTTGAACCCTGAACCATGCATGCATGGAACCATGTGCATATGTATGTGTTTCTACATGGCATATAACATGATATAATATTGATTTTAGGGTGTGCAATATAAAGAATTTAAATTATAACCACTAGAACCACCACCAAAAAATAATGCAAAGAGGTATAGATAAAATAGGAGTGGGTCAGGGAGTGCTAGGGATCAAAGCCAGGCCATTGCAAATGCTCAGTAAGAGCCCTACTGCTGAGCTACATACCCAGCCCAAGTGCATTCCTCAGACAAGCTCAGGAAACACTGACCTAGCTTTGTGAAAGGGCAGGAATAATTCCCTTGGTTGAACTAAAAGATCTCCCCATCCTAGAGCTACAACATTTCCAGCCGGTCAGGTAGAAGCCACACTGCTACTGAGAGCTAAATATGTATTTCTGGGTTTGAACAGCTCCTGTATTTCTAAAACTCAGTTCTCCTGGCCCCACTCTGTGATTCCAGAGCAGTGATAGATCAGAAGTCCCCCACCTGAGCACCTGGGCCAGCACACTGGGTCACTTCTAGTTCCTGTACCTGTGGGTGACAATGTAAGAGGTGGGCAGTGATTTGGAGCAGCAGGAGGGGGCTGCTCAAGTGCTAGGTAAGCCCAAGTATGGGTCAAGTCCCTATGTGTCACAAGAAGGATCCCACAGTACCAGCACAGTGCAGGCTCCAAAAGTCCACAGCAATGGCTGTAGCATGGAGTATCAGACCCTTTCCTGGTGGCAGGGTCAGAGGTCACCAGCAGGATCTTCATGGGGACAGGGCTCCTGGGTGAGGATTCTACAACAGTGCTCTACAGGGAGACTGGCTGGGGCAAGAACAAGGACAGAGTCCTACGGGAAGGCCAACCCCACAGCCAAAGTTACTAGAGTGGGCAGGGCAAAGGAAGTGACCATGCTCCTAGGAGTCTGGGGTGGGAGCTGCGTGGTAGAAGGCACTCACCAAAGTGCCTCTGACTCCCGTATGAGAGTGTGGAGGCCCCCTCCCTCCTCTCATGCTCCTTTCTTGGAAGGTACCTGAACCATTTGTTCAGCTTGGTCCTCCTCCTTCAGGTGACTGGGAAACTCTGCACTTACTTAAATATTTTGCCATTCTCAAAATTGCTTCCAAAGGATGAACAATCGTACCAGAAACAAGTATCAAAACTTGTGATCACAAGTCACTTTGGCCATGAATTACATTGTCTCAATATATTTTTTGTGCCTATTTATCAGATGAAAATGAATCCCTCCTGCCCAAGCAGCAAGGAAGAGATGCAGGACAGGTGGGACCCCTCTGTCCAGCTCTTGGGCTCTGCATGGTATAGGCCCGGGTCAAGGCCATTCAGGCAGGGTAAAGCCAGATTTGCTAGGGTCTGAAGCTGAGACAGTTTAGGTAGATAGCTAGGAGATTCTCTCATACAAGAAAAATTATACAAAATTAAGTGTCAAAGTATAAAAGCTACTGTGCATGTGTGGGGCTAAAGTTTAAAAAAAAAAAAGAAGAGAAGAAGAGAGGAGAGGAGAGGAGAGGAGAGGAGAGGAGGGGAGAAGAGAAGATAGAGAAGAGGAGAGGAGAGGAGAGAAGAGAAGGGAAGGGAAGGGAAGGGAAGGGAAGGGAAGGGAAGGGAAGGGAAG